GGATGTGCACATCTGTAATCTCAGCACTTGAGAGGTTGAGACAGAAGGATTGCCATTTGTTTGAGGCCAGCTTGGGCTCCATGGTAAGTTCAAGGCCAGTCTGAAAGGCATAGCGAGACCCTGACTCTAAAACCAAAAACCCCCTGAATATACATCTGGCAAGAACAGGCTGCGATGTCAGAGAGAAAAATGTCTTTGGCTAACAGCTCTTAACATTTAGCTGAAGGCTGCTGAGAATCTTTGAGCTTCCCAACCTACCCTTCCCCTCCTTACAATAAAAATGTCAGGGCTGGAGAGATCACTCAGTAGTCTAAGTGCCTGCCTGGCAAGCACAAGGACCTAGGCTCTATCCCTACTATCACATGCCATGCCAGCCATCAAAACCAGGCATGGTGGCACAGGCCTGTAATCTCAGCACGGGTAAACTGAGGATCACTACAAGTCTGAGCTGCATAGCGAGTCCCGGGACCAAATAAACAACTAAAATTAAAATGTCACCTCAAGAGCTATGTACCATGACTGCAATATACATGTCTATCCCAAGAGTGGAGAGACACTTCCGTGAGGCTTTGAACTGTCACTCTCTGGCAGGCTAGCATTTCCCACTGGATTGTGAAGAGTACGAAACCATTTAAGCACACAGGCACTGTTTTTCCACAGGACAAAAACCTTATGCCTGGGCTGGTGAGATGGCGCAGTGGTCTAAAGCACCTACTTAGAACAAGCTTAGCAAAGCACAGGGACCACGGTTCAATCCCCCAGCACCACATGCCAGCCAGCCCGCCCCCTGGTGGGCTGAGCTGGCCACACACACACACACACACACACACACACACACACATAAATAAATAAATAAAATTTAAAAAAAAAAAAACCTTATGCCTACAGTCTGTCATTTCTTGGATGGATTTTACTCAAATCTGATCTGAGTGTCACTGAACAGCATGACCAGAAGTAACGATTCAGAAGAGAACTACAGGGGCCGGGGAGATGGCTCAGAATAAGCACTTGTCTGTCAAGCGCAAGGGTCTTAGTTCAATCCCTGGTTCTGCCAAAGGAAAAAAAAAAAACTACTTTGTAGTACTTTTCAAATTTTAGTGTTTCCCTTCCTACTAATATAGTCCCCAGTGGTTTAGCTGCCTTAAGAGTATTACAAAGTGAAGGCTGAGGTTAAGGGTTTCATCTTCTTAATGGCCTTTTACTTCTGTTCCATAAGGCCATAAATTCACCTCTCTGAAATTATGTTTATAAATAAAGGTGGATTAGGTCAAGAAAACATAAGGGAAAACACTGCCCAGGACAGGAAGCTCGAAGGCCCAGAAAGCAGGATGTCAAAAGACCTTTTCATCCATTCTGCTTTAGCATGTGCTGAGATTGAGCCCCAGCCCAGGAATTTGGTGTAAAAACAGCAATTCCTATGCAGGTCCCGGGGGCCCGCCCATTATTAGCTCAGGTGTTTAAGTGCCTGCTGAAACAAAGCAGTCAGGCTCAGGATGCTGTGGTTCAATCCCCTCATCCTCAAGCCAAACCAGACCTGCCCTGAAGGCATCCTGAGTGCCCCCCACACACACACACACAAAATCCTACGCAGGTCCCATAACAAGACCATCGAGGAACCAAACCCGCTGGGGGGGAAGGGGGAGCAGAAAAGAGCAGGTAGGAAAACTTTTCCAGAGAAGGTGGAGGGAGCTGCCAAAGAACGGGAGCAATTGGCACTGTGGACATCTCAAAGGCAAGTCCTGAGGGACTGGATGCAAATGAAAAAGCTCGGTCCAGTCCCCAGTACCAAAGGGAGGAAAAGGCCATGGGAGCCACTCAACCCATTTGAGTTTCAAAAAGGGAAGGATTAGGCAGAGGTATCTGGGAATCTCAAGCACATGTAGTCGTATGAGTGAGCTGCGTCTCTTACCTGACTGTTTATTACAACTGTCAGAAACACAACTATATCCAACTCTAAGTTGGAATGAGAATCAAGTTAGCACTCCAAGTCTCACAACAGGCATTTCTTCCCTGTACAACATAACATGGCTTACAAGAACTAAGCCAGTGCTAGGGATGTAGCTCACTGGTGCAGCGCCTGTCTGCCAAGCACAAGGTCCTGAGTTCAATTCCCAGTACCCGCGCCCCCAAAGAACTAAGCCAACTTTCCAAAGTCAGTGGATTTACATAAAACAAGGTAATAAAAAGGTTTTTTGTGGTGTTGAGGATGGAAGCCAGGACCTTGTATATCCAAGGCAGTGCTCTGCCCTGAAGCCACACCCTCGGCCCAAAGCTAATACTTTTACCAGAGTATACTATGACACACAGGTTCCTTCTAAATTCCCACAGTAAAAAGTGAAGGCCAGGAAGAGAAAGCTGTTAATCAGCACTACAACATCGCCACCCTGTGTTCAAACGCCATCATTACAACCATCATGTGACAGCTAAAAAGATCACAAGGGGATTCTCAGTAATTACAGAATATAGCTTTATTTATAGAATCTTACAAATAAAACATTTACAGTCCACATAATATAAGTTATCTTTTCTAATTCTCATAACACCTGAGTTATTTAAAATAATACTGTGATGGAATTGCAGAACTGTAAAGAGAAATTTATAAAAAACAAACCTCTCTCTTTTGCAAAAATCAGGTGTTTTGTTTTTTCTTATAAAGCAGACTTCCAGCACACTACCCTCTCTTTGGAAAAAGACTTAGTAAAAATAGACCTCAGGCTACCTAAACAGAAAAAAAAATTTTTGGTAGTACTGGGGATCAAATGCAGGAGCGCTCCAACACTGAGTTGTGTCCCCAGCTCCTTTTATGTTACAGCAGAGTCTTTCTATGTTGCCCAGTCAGAGCTTGACCTTGCAATCCTCCTGTCTCGGCCTCCCAAAGTGCTAGGATTACAGGGGTGCACTACCGCTCCTAGCATAGAAATCTTGTAGAAGCCCAAGGTGCAGAACCATCGAGGAACCCCCCCACCCCTGCCCCCTAATTGATGCTAGACACAGAACCCCTCTGGAGGCAAGGACAGAGGGAGGGGAGAAGCACAGCAACCTGCCCCTGGCTTCTAGCCGCTGCATGACATGTATTTCCTCCATCTGGAGAGAGGCTGAAGGCGCTGATGTCAGGAGAGAAAGGCCCTCCAAACTCACCACCCTGTAGACTTCTAATATGTACAAATGCTTAACACAGCAAATTCAACTCATAAACATTAAAAACAAAATCACCAATCGTCAGCTCAGGAGGCAGGTCTGTTACAGATGCAGCGGAGCCCCCCAACCCTCCCTCCTGCGTTCCAACTGCGGCTCATGCTTCACCAATGCCTTTAAAGACTAGTTCACGTGTTGCTCAATTTACTCAAGATTAGGTTTCTCCGTTTCTTTGTGTTTGCTTGTTTTTGAGATAGAGTTTCACTATGCATTTCAGGCTAACCTTTAACTCACTTTGTACCATAGGCTGGCCTTAAAAATCACAGCAATCCTTCTGCCTCAGCCTCCTGAGTGCTGGGATTACAGGTGTGCACCATGATGCCCAGCTCTAAATTCCTCTTATTTAGAAACTCATTAACTCTAATTCAGTATTCTACTCCAGAAAACAGATCTTTTTTGTTTTGTTTTGTTTTTGGTAGTACTGAGGATTGAACCCTAAGCATGAAGGTATATTCCCAGTCTATTTATTTATATTTTGAGACAGGATCTTGCTAATTTGACCAGACTGGGCTCTAACTTGTGATCTTTCTGCCTCAGCCTTCCAGAGTGCTGGGTTGATTGTTGTGTGCCATCATGCCCAGTGACAAAGGATATTTTTAAAGGAATGACAGGATCCATACAAGGAATGCTAAGCAAACATTTAATACATTAATGTGAATTCAGTAAGTCAAAATCTTCTACAGTCTTAGTTCTTTGCCTTCCCGTTTCGTTTTGCTTTTGCAATGCTGCAGATGCGACCTAGAGCCTCGCACATGCTAAGGCAACTGCTCTACCACTGAGCTACATCTACTCGGTACCTGTGCCATTTTCTCCTAGCTCCTGAAAGCAGTTTGAGGATTACACAACAGAAGAAACAAAAAAGCATTTTAAAACAGTATCAACAAAGACGATGCTAAAAGAAAGCTAGAGTCTGACATTAGGGGACTGGTTCTTTGGTAAAACTGGACCCTAGTTCTACTAGGAGTTGGTCCTAGCATCCAACCTAGAATTCTGGTGGCTGAATTTCCTCCTCCTCCTCCTCCTGCCTCTTACAAGTGTTGCCCAAGTCTGGAAGCAAGATCAGGAGGGAAACTCAGTCGCCCTCCCCGCTCCTGCTCTTTTCAGGAATATTTCTAGTTTGAGGGCTGTTTCCCAAGAAGAAAAAAAAACGAAATCGATGCTGCTCAGAATCACTAAGAATGGATAGTTTTTTGGCCTGAGAACAGAAAAGCTCAGGCATTGGTGATGGCCCTGGGCTCTTGTCTGTCTTGCAAACAAATAGAACCCCTGGGCTGTGACTATGGGCACCACTAAAAAAGGGTTCTGGGGAGACTGGCTCCCCCAAGTGGCTAAAGAGTCTCCCATTATCAATATGATAATAATAAATCATTCACCTAGTGAATCTGGAGATCAGCTCCCCTTGAAGCCAGAGTTCTGAGACAGGTGCTCTACAGCACCCGTGGCTAGCCTGTAGTGTTAGAGATAAGCACACCACCCACTTTCTGGAGGATTAGAGCAGTTCATCCTGGGGCGAGCCAGGACATGCCACCCAGACAGCAACACCTGCAGCACCCCAAGGCCGATCTCACAGTCTAGAGTTCCCTGTACTCACACTTGTTCATGTAATTAGCTCCTTAGCCTGGCCTGCACCCATCCCATTACAGATCTCTCTTGTCACTGTGGTAAAGCAAATAGCTGCACGCTTACTCCATAAGTTGGCTTGCTGGTCTGCAGCAGACGTCTTGATTAGGCAGTGAATTTGTGCAGTCTCCCCTCTAATACAAATATTTTATTTTGGGTTTGTTTTTTTGAGACAGGGTCTCACTATGTAGCCCAGGCTGGCCTCAAACTCAAAGCAATCCTCCTGCCTCAACCTCCCCAGTACTGGGGTTACAGGGGTATGGAACTAGGCCTGACACATAAACATCTGAAATGTGCTCAAAATGTGCTTCAATAGAGGCAGCTAAAAGATCTCTTAGAAGGGAGCTGGGAATCAGTAAAACCAATTACTTCTTCTTATCTGCGGGGTTCCTGCCCCTCCAGACTGTCAGTGTTAGCAGGAAAAAGGAGGAGGCCAGGGCAGCTGCACACTGTGTTGGCCCAGCCAAATGGCCAGGACACAGCAGGGTTGGATGAGACCAGTGTCCAGCATCCCAGTGCAGCCGGGTGAGCACTGACACTGGTCCCATCCCTGGCCTTACTTCCCTGTCACTCGGGACGGGCCCTGCAGTCCTGCCCTACTCACCTGCTCTGAGTCTTAGTTCTCTGAATTCAGTAGGAACTGAACAGATTCTGAAAACAGGCGGGAGGGATCCCGTCTCCTGCCCTTTCTTTGAAGAGCAGGTGACCCAAACCAAAAAGGGCAGTGTGAGGTCCAGGACGCAGTTCCGTTCGTGAGCGCCCAGGATTCACCTCTGATGCTTCCACCCAGGCTCTGACAGCCGCTATTTGAACACTGCAGGGTCCAGGATGCCAGATCTCATGGTGTTGCTTCCAAGAGAGATCAGAGGAACCAGAGAGCAAGGAGAGAGGCTTGTCCTGCGTGCAACTCGCGGGTTCCAGCATGACTGTGAGGAAGGGGCAGGGAGGGGGCGAGGCACTATCTAGAGAATGGCTACCGCACGGCCCGTGTTCCGGGACACAGCCAATATCCGCACGCAGGCAACAGTCCACCGGCAGCTTACAGCACTGCTCCTTGTGTGCCACACGCAAGGCAAGTCCCCGGCAGGCCCGGGCAGCCAGCACGTGCCTTGCGACGTCGGCGGCCCTGCAGGGCCCTACCCAATCTGGATCTGCCCCGAGTACATGGTGAGGAGCAGCATGATGGTGAAGCCCGTCAGGAGGCCCAGGTTCTGGATGACGAAGGGCACCAGCATGCTGCCGCTCCTCTCATCTTCCTGGCTGACCTCATTCATCTCAGGGAACTGCAGAGGGAGAGAAAAGCAAGAGCTGAGGCTCCTCCTGAGACCTACAGCTGGGCAGTTAGCAAGAGGTAATGCTGCCAATACTACCCTGAGGCCCTGGACATGTTCAGATGCTGGCTGAGCTCTACAGACACTTGAAGACATCCTTTTACTACCAAGACACTGTCACCACCTCCTTGAGAAACTAAGCAACTGTGTCAGGGGACAGAGAATGGAGACACACGTGGCTGGGATTCAGGGAGACAAGTGACAACCCTGAGACCACCCAGTGAGGCCTAGCACGCGTCCTAACCACAGGGCAGACTCCCTGTCCGAGGAGGGAACCCAAACATTTCCCTGGAGGACACTGCGTGCAGGTTCAGTCCTCAGACCAGTCATCAAAAAAATATTATTTCCAAAGCAAGGTGTGGCAGTGCACATCTACAGTCCCAGCACTTGGGACGCCGAGGCAGAGAAGGACCACTGTGGGCTCAACAGCAGCCGAGGCTACACAGTGAGACCCCGTCTCAGAAAACTAAAACCAAGAACTTCCCTAAAAGCAAAACCAACCCCAAGATTATTTCCAATGGATATGTAGAACTGTCAAATAAATATAGCAAATCATTTTCTATATGTAGTAGAGGATATATATTTTGTTTTATTTTATTATTGTTGGTTTTTTTTTGTTTTTTTTTTTTTTTTTTTTGGCTGAACGGGGGATTGAACTCAGGCCCTTGTGCTTGCCACACAAGCACTTAATCTTCTACTGAGTCATCTTCCCGGCCCCAATTTTATTGAGACAACGTCTCAATAGTTCCGATGTGCCTTGAAGTTATTATGTAGCTAGTCCAGGCTGGCCTCCAATGCACAGCGATCCTCCTGCTTTTCCCTCCTGAGTTCTGGGCTTACAGGCATACGCCGCCAAGGCCAACTATATATGAGAATATACTGTACTGGGGCTGGGGAGATGGCTCAGTAGGCTAAGCGCTTGACTGGCAAATGCAAGGATCTGAGTTCAATCCCCGGTTCCACAAAAAAAAAAAAAAAAAAAAGAATGCATAGAGAATATACTGTATAAAAAAAAATAATTTAGACAGGCCAAAGACCACATCATGCCAACAAATACAGATACGTTACACAAACAGGCTGAAAATTCAAAATCTGACGACCAGCCAGACAGCTCAGAAGATTAAAGTGCCTGCTTAGGCAGACACAGGGACCAGGGTTCCATCACCAGCGTGCCCTGCTGGCCCCGCCCCTGGGGCAAGCTGAGATGGCAGACTGAGATTGGGCACGGCGTGTGCCTATAATCCCAGTGCTTGGGAAGCTGAAAACAGGAGTCCCATCTGTAGTGAGACCCTGTACTAAATACATTTAAAAAAAAAATGTCAAAATCTGTAGGTGATTCATGTCAATGGTAGGGGCATAAGGCAGTATACTGTTTTAGATACTGCTTGCTATTAACAGAAAGTTAAGCCCTTTTGAAAAGTTATTAAAAGCCAAAGCTAGAGTCAGTTGTGTGGCACACGCCTATAATCCCAGCACAAAGAAGCTGAGGGGCAGGGGAAAGCTCAGCAGCACAGCGCCTCCCTGGTAAGTACAAGGTCACAAGGTCAATTCCTGGCCCCCCCCCCAAAAAAAAATAGACAAAAAAGAGGCTAAGGCAGGAGGATCATGGTCATGAGTTTGTGGGTGACTTAGTTACATAATGAGACCTAAAAAGGGGGGAGGGGGCAAAGCCAGCAATTCTAGCTCTGAAACTAAAGTATACTTATAATGGCTCATCAATTAGCGTCACTGATGAGGATACTTACAAAAAGTATGCAACATATTAGGAAAAAGAAAATGGTATACTAGGAAAAATGAAATCAGAACATAAAATTCCATAGTCAGTGTGATTACAGTTCTTTAAAAACACATACACAATTCTTTGAGACAAAAAAAGAAAAACAAATCAAAGTACTGTTATTATTTTGGGGCATAAAAATTATGGGTAATTTTCCTCCCTGTCTTTATTCATTTCTATTTACCTATTCTACAATATTTAAATATGGGCTCTAGAGCGGAAATCAACATTTTCTTTAATGACAGGTGCAAACAGAAACAAAGTTTTGCCCTTTAAAGTCTGATGTCCCAGCTAGGCACATGAGGTCACAGTTCCAGGTTAGTCTGGGCGGCTTAACAGGACACTGTCACAAAACAATAAACAAATGAACCTACAAACAAAACCCTAAGGTGAATGCCTCCTTAAGAACTCTTAAATGGTACGTCTAAAATAGATAAAGGGCTGGCGAGATAGCTCAGTGGACTAAGCACCCGCTTAGCCAAGCACAGGGACTGGCGTTCGATTCCTGGCACCACATGCTGCTCCTACCGAGTCCAGGTGTGGTGGGGCATGCCAGTAATCCCAGCACTGGGGAGGCTGAACCGAGGATCACTACAAGTCTGAGCTGCAAGTGAGACCCTGTATCAAATACATACAATTTTTAAAAACAGATAAATTTATGTTTCCTTAGCTGTCCTGTCCCTGATTTCAGCAGTCCACCATTTTGTCTGCCTGGTGTGAATACCTGTAGACTTACCATATCAGCCAGTGAGATATACAGGAACATGCCTCCAGCCAGAGCAAAAATCCAGTTGGGGGAGAAGTGGCTGCCTGCCAGGATGCCAAAGGCCAGGCCCACGTAGCAGCAGCAGGCAGAGAGGAAGTTGAAGAACAAGGCCTGCTGGATACTCATCCCAGCATTGAGCAGGATGACGAAGTCGCCTGCAGGGACACAGGGAAAGGCCGCTGAGCTAGAAGACAGACTGCCTGTGCCATGGTCCAAATCACATGCCCAAGATGTAAGGCTGACAGGATGGCACTGAGGCCTCGTTCTCAGGCACAGTCGCCATCTGCCAGCCTCCAGGCTGGAATAAATGGCAGGACCCCAAAGGCAGATGACCAGCTGCAGTGGCCTCCTATCCTTTCCTTGACTGATGTAGTCAAATAAAAGGAGTACTCTTGCTCACAACTGAATAAAAGATACTTTCAGGAGACAAAAGTGAGAGGAAGAGAAGGCAGGAAATTTGGCCAGACTTCTAAGCCCCAAATGGCAAACGTTAAAGCTGAGCCTCGAGTCCTGGTGTTTTTCACTCTGCCACGATAAAGCTAAGCATCTCCCAAGCCATGGTTCAGCTGCTTCACCCTTGTCCACCTGCCAGACTTCAAATGTGCACTCCAGCCTTGGAAGATAACAGGCTTTGCATTATCGTCTTTACCGAGTGCTTAGTGAGGGTTGGGCCATGTGGGCACCTCAGGGCTGTGGGCTTACCCAGCTCATGTGGGAACTCCTCGCACAGGATGGCCACCGAGGTGCTGATCCCTTGGAAAACAGACACTGTGAAGGAGGCACCAATGGCCAAGCCGTCGATGAAATTATGCAGCCCATCACTCAGGGTGATCATCCAGGCCAGGGTGCCAATGTCAGAGTAGCGCACACCTTTCAGCCAGTAGCAGGCACTCCGTGAGGCCTGCAGGTCCTATAAGAAAGCACGCAGAGGGCGTGGGGTGAGCCACTGTGTCCCTGGCAAGGTGGCCCAGGCTCCCCAGGCAGTGACAGCCATTGACCTGAATGGACAGCGAACCCACAATGACCTTCTCGTCCATGCTGGGGGTCCTGCTGTCTAGCTCACTGTTGCAGGCCTGAGGAATCATGTGGTCTAGGTCCCCATTCTGCAGCTTCTCTGTCACACCCTCCTCCTGGTCCTTCTTGGAAGGAAGCGTCTCCGAAGCAAAGTGGTTATGTCCGTGATGGTGCTGGAAGGATGACAAGGATGGGTCAGTGCGACACCCACCAAAACCACCAGCCCAATGGAAGACCCGGTCGGAGTGAAAGCTCCAGGCTCAGGGAGACTTCATTCCTGCACACAAGAGAACTAGAGGATCCCACACAGCAAGGTGGGCAAGTGTACATGTAGCAGTGCCAAGCTTGCAGAGGACTGCATGTAAGGAACCAGCACCCTCACTGAAGCACGTGGCCCTTCTGAGAATGGAGAGCTCTTCCTGTGCTACGACCACTCGCACCCGATTTGGCAGCTGTGCAGGGAACAATCTGATGCCTGGCACTGCCGTGGAACCACACTGTGGCAGCAGCCATCAGTCCTGGTCTCTGCCACCTGCCACTGTACCTCACACTCAATGGTGCCTGCGCCACGCTCTTGCCTACTATGAGAAGATCCGAGTGTACACATAGGAGATCACTTAGAACAAGGCCAAAGAGACAGACTCAGCTACTGGTTAAAGGTTCAATGGCCAGATCTAGGTTCCAGCCTCAGCTAACATCCTCAGAATACAAAATGTGATGACTTCTTCATGAGGTCTGTGTCCCCTCAGCTCCATCAGTGAGCAACATTGAGAGAGCTAACATTGACATTTTTTGACGTGGGTGCCTTCCTGGAATTTTCTTTACTAACAACTGGGTCTTACCTCGTTTTTTGGCTTAAGAAGCATCTTCAAGATCTTCTCTGTAAAAAAGAAAAGGTAGAAGCCCCCAAACACCACTGCAGACTTGTGAACATAATCATCTTCCAGAGGATTGAAACCAAAAGCCTGTAGATCCAAGAAAATAAAATGAGCTGAGGAAAATGAAATCCTTCATTGGTTCCCTCTCATCTCAATGACTTCCTTGACTCCCAGAAAGCAATGTCCTGGAATAGCTCTGCTGCCTGCCCAAACTCCTGCCAACACAATCTAATCCTGCTACTCCGGATGTGACGTCACTACTCGGACCACGTTCCCTCGTTTCTCTTCTGACACAAAAGCACACTATATTTAGGACTTTAAACTTAGAAGAATAGCTAGGCATATGGCTCCCCTGCTTTTAATGAGGACTATCTCTTAATGTGATTTCTTTCAGAGCTAAGCTATGAAAGCACCCTGAGGGTAAATTCCACACTTAAGGACAGGACTTTTTAGTTTCACCTTATCTAGCAGTCCCTGGCTTTTCTGTCTGTAAACACAATGGGAAGTGGTATAATTATGCTTTCTAAAAAGGGAAATCCATCACCTCCCAGATAAACAAAGAATTGCAGCATCTTCCTGACCACAGACCTCACAGGGACCACAAAGCCAAGGAAGCAGGCTATGCCCTTGTGGTGCCTCAATCTGGGTGGTACTGAAAGTGGGTATGGTGGTGCCATCTGCAATCCCAGCTACTTGGGAGGCTGAGGAAGAAGAATTGCTTGAGGTCAGCTTGGATAGCAATGAAACCTTCGGTCTTCATTTAAAAATAAAACATTCGATGAGGGTGAGAAAAGTATCCATTAAAGAAAGGGGAAATTGGGCCGGGGAGATGGCTCAGTGGAATAAGCGCTTCCCTGGCAAGCGCAAGGGCCTGAGTTCAATCCCCAGTTCCGCCAAAAAAAAAAAAGGGGGAAATCCATCCAGAAGGAGGCAGGACTGGAGAACGAGTTGGCTCCTGATTTATGGAAGCAGCTTTGAATACACTCTAGCCCTCCAGAACAGGTCACCACTAGAAGTTGATTCTAACCAGGGAACTCTAGGCTGCTTAACAGCTGAGTGCTTTTCCTCTGGGTTTTATTTATTTATTTATTTATTTATTTATTGGTGGTACCAGGGATCGAACTCAGGACCTTGTGCTTGCTAGGCAAGCACTTATTCCGCTGAGCTATCTCCTTAGCCTTCCTTTGGGTTTTAAAGGGACCAAATTCAATCATAACCTTCTACAGTTGCTCTTCTAAGATCTATGTGGTGGCCAGATTCTAGAGTGGAAGCAACATGCTCAGGACAACTTTTTGGGAAAGCTGACACTGCCTAGGGAAGACTGTTTTGTAAAGAGGCAACTACTACCCTGGTACACAAAGCCTGCAAGGATGGCAGCATCCGACTGTCTGGCTTGGATGGGAGGCAAAGGACATGGAGGCCAGGCCTTGGGAACAGCTCTCCTAGCAGGTCAGGGTACAGTGGGCAAAACAGCACTTGGTGAGTGGTGTTGATCCAGCAACATCACAAAATAGCACTGTGGAATATACCAGCCTTTCCGCTTTGCCCAGGCCTGCCAGGCCACCTACAGTGCTCTGTCTGATGCTTATTATAATTAACGGGTCTCTCCACAACCATGCACCCAATCAGATGGAACATCTCTGGGGCTGACGGCCAAACCTCAGACACAAAGCTCCTTCTCTCTTATGGAATATTTTCTCAAGAATCTGGGCAAGGGGCAAGGGTGTGACCAATGTGTGCAAGCTCAGACTGTTCTGTTCAGGTTGCCTTGACCCCTAAACTCCACACTGAGATTCATGTGTTTGTTTATACCTGTCTGCACCACAAGCCCCACACTGAGAGCCAGAAAGTGATCTCGCTACCTTATTCTTTTCACTCAACACTTACAGCACTTTCCAGATAGCAGGCATCTTACAAACATGAACTCCCTGAGTTATCCTGAGAGTGATCGCCCTGTCTCTTGTATGAAGCAATGAGGGAGGAGCCCGCCCCATGCTGCAGAACCTGGAGATGGGGAGTTAGGACTTGCCCTGGCTCTCAGATCTACACTCTTCAGCTTTGGCTAGCTGCTGCCTGACTCCTGTCTTCACCTTTCACAAGGAAAGACCCTGAATCCTCCTCCCTGTGCCCACCAGGTGAATGCAGGGTCCTCCCACTGGCTGCTGTCCCGGGCAGACACGCTGCTCTGGGGGGGTAAGCATTCTGGCTTGCCATACCTCGGGGATGAGCTGGAAGAGGGCGTTGGAGTAGAGGGTTCCAATCGCCAGAGCTATGAAGTAGAGCAGCAGCCTCTTGTAAAAGATCTTCTTCATGAAGGGCACCACGCTGGCCCCCATGAGGGAGCAGAGGGAGATGACGGTGACACAGAGGAGACCGTATCCCCACACTGCCAGCCCACCCGGGACAAGGACAGGGCAACCACCATTTAAAGGAGGAAAGTAGAGAGGACGGGGCAACAGAGAAAGTACAAGTAGGGAGGGAGAGAGAAATAGAAAATTTGTTAGTGATTCAAATCCGATAAAATTTCCTTCAATCAGATGAGGAAGTTGGGGTGGCCTTGGTACCCTGTGACTAATGCCCCTGTTGCCTTTGGTGGTCTGAGTCACACCTGCCAATGACTGGCAGGCAAGAAAGGGTGTCCCAAGAGCTCTCTTTAGTAAGACATAAAAGCAAATGGAAAGAGACTGTCCATCATGCTGTCCAGTTTCCTTTGCATTCAGTCTGTGTCACAAGAGCACAGGTGACAGTCTGCCGTTGGCCTGGTCTATGCCAGACACAACAAAGCCAGATGTGCAAAGATTAGGACCCGAGGCCCAGAGTCATTTCTGAACTTTAGTTGTTCTGTGTTTCCATTTGCTTTGAGGGGCTTGAGCATAGAGAACAGAGTTCCAAGATCACCCCATCACAAAACAACATGCCCTCTGGCATTTCCTTGTGAGACACACTCTGGGCTAAGAGTCCAGGCCCGGAAGAGGGCAGGACAGACCCAGGCCAGGAGACACAGCGACTTCCATTCAAACAGGCAAAGACGTATTTCATTTTAGATCTTTGAAAAATTGCAAATTTAATTTCTGGAGCTAAAAAAACAGTCCAAGATGAGGCCTCCTGGGAAGTGCTGGCTAGACCCATGTGGAATCTTGAGATGGCAGCAGTGTTGTTCCTCTTACGTCACTGCTTCTCTCATTATGAAGGGGGCCAGGCCAAGCCAGGCGTGAAACCCCATGTGGCAACTTTTCTGGGTCAGTCTTTCAGTTGGGAAGAGCTGGGAAGCCACTGACGTGGGCTCTTATGTAAGGTAGCTCCGTCACTCCTGGTTGACCAGGTGTTCCATGTTACCCCACCCCCCACCCCCACCTCCACCCTAGATGAAAGTGGGCAGGCTGTCAGCTTGGACCTTATTTTTAGAGCTCCTGGGCAATGAAAATTAGAAACAAAATTATCAGACATTTTGTAACAGTAAAGGAAGGGTCCCCCCAGGAAGTCAGTCCTCTCAGGAGAAGGCCAAGATGCAAGGTACGATGGAGCTGTGCTCCTTTTCTTTCTTTTCGTTTTGCAACAGTGGGGATTGAACTCAGGGCCTTTACAATGAGCTCCATCTCGCAGTCTGTCTTTATGGTGAGGCAGGGTCCTCCTAAGCCACGAAGTTGCCTAGGCTGGGCTGCAAAGTGTGAGCCTCCTGCCTCAGCCTCCCATCGTGCTGGGATTACAAGGTGTGCCACCACAGCTGGCTTGTTTTGTGTTTTTAACTGTGCCTGTTCTGTCAAGGGTCTTTGTTCTAGTTCTGCTCTGCAAGCCACAAAAAATGGCTTGCTTAAAAATAGGGGCAATCTTACTTTTTAGGCCATTTTACATATCCATTTTCTTCTTCTGACTGCATTCAAGATGGATAATCCATTGGCCCCCAGGACAGATACTGTGATCACCTTCAAAACAGAGGGCTACCACATGCCCATCAGCTGCACGCTCCCTTGGGAGCTCTAACAGGGACCAAAAAGAAATCCCTAGCTGGGAACAAATGCTAAGAAACTTGCATCCAATGTCACCTGAAGAGGTCAGAGCACCGAGTGTCCGAGAGAGAGAGGGGCACTGAAATCCCAAGGAAGAAGTCATTGGTGGCCCTGGATATGGGGGTCAGTTTGTGTTTCAGGTGGTAGTCACCAAGTGCTTTAATGCACAGGGAGGGGACCTCAGCCAGGGGGGCTCAGTGGTGGCGCACATCTGTCTACTGCACCTCTGGGATGAGCTGGAAGAGTGCGTTAGAGAGCAGCGTTCCAATTGACAGGGCGATGAAGTAAGTGAGCACCCGGTGGAAAAACGCACGCTCCGTGCACGGCAAGACGAGGACTCCCAGGAGAGAGGCCAGGTTAATCAGCGAGACACTGAGGAAACCAAAGCCCCACACTGCGGAGGAACAAGAACAGATGGGGCCTCCATTACTGAGGGTGGGGCCACTGTGAATGCTGGGTGACTAGAATGACTGGGTGGGCAGAGACCCACTAGCCCCGTGGGGTCCGCCTCTAGTGTAGAACTGTGGAGGAGCCTCAAAAAACGCTGGCAGGGTCACTTACCTTTCAGATGGGAACTGGAGGACCACATGGAAGATTAAATACCATAAGTTAAACTATGACAGTGGAGACAGTGCCAGGTCAGGCAGCATGTGCTGGCACCAGAGAACTTCAGGGCAGTTGGGGCCTACAGTTGTGTGGTATGTGCTCACAGACAGAGATGAGCTCGCTGGCTGAGCACTGGGACAAGGGGACAAGGATGAAGCAGACCAAGTGAGATCTTAAAATGACAGAAGTGGGCATGATGGAGCTCATCTATAATCCTAGCAACTTATGAGGCTGAGCTAGGAAGATCACTATGAGTTCAAGGTCAGTCTGGGTTACACAGTGAGTTCAAGACCAGCCTGAAATACATAGTAGGACCCTGTCTCAAAGGTTGAGCTCTTTGTGGTTTAACAAAACCAAAACAAAAAGTAGGCAGTCAGGTGTGGCTGGTAGTGCATATCTATAATCCAGCAAGCAGGGAGCTGCAGTAGGAGGGTCCCATGTCAAAGCCCAGACTAGACTGAGCAACTTAGAAAGACCGTGACTCAAAAAAAAAAAAAGCTGGAGACTTGCACTGAGCTATAGTGCCAAGGTCTGAGTATAATCCCTAGTCCCACTAAAAACAAACTGAAAAACCTGAGGTCCAGCCCTCCGAGTGCTCACCAGCCATGCTGACCTGGGTCTCCTCACACTGCGGCAGAGCAGTCATGTGAATACAGTGCCACAATCAGCACCAGTGCTCTTTCCCCTCCAGGGCTTAGCGGCACACTACTCTGTGGGATGAGCCACACGCCAGTTCCCACACTGCCCTCTCTCACCTTCCAGGGCACTCGGCTTCCCCTCCTCCGTCTGCTCATTCTCCTCGTTCTCTTGGTTCTCAGCTGAGCAGGCCCGGGAGTTCAGCTGCTGTAGGACGGTGGGGCAGAATTCCTGGAACTCAGCCCTCCCAATCCTTGACTCATTGTTGAAGTTGTGGGCAGCGAAGAGCTCTTGAGAACTAAAGCACTAGAAAAAGACAGGTGAGAGCCATGAAACTGAAAAGCCCCTGGCTTCCCTGCTACTCATCCTTCCCTCCCAGAGACAAAAAGACAGAAAACTGGGGAGAGAGCTTGGCCGTCTAAGCACCTGCCTGGTAAGCATAAGAACTGGGGCTCAATCCTGGATACTGCATGCTGTGCTGGCCCCATGGCAAGCACGCCATCAAAACTGGGTATGGAGGCGCACATCTGTAATCCCAACACTGGGGAGGCTGAGACAGGAGGATCACTATGAATCCGAGCTACATAGTGAGACCCTGTACCAATTAAATATAAATAAAATTTTAAAAAATAGTTATATTAAAAAAGAAGATGGAAATAACAAAGCTTAAGAAATCTAGAGAAGCACCCCTAAGCACCTAACCTTGAAAACCTCACCAGTGGGCTGGGATTACAGCTCAGCAGAATAAGTGCCTGCCTGGCAAGTGCAAGGTCCCAAGCTCACTCCTCCAGTGCCAAAAAAAAAAAAAGAAAAGAAACAGAAAACTTCAGCAGTGGCCTTCTCCGACAGTCAGCCACCTGGAGAGGTTAGACACACAAAGCACACGTGTCTCGAAATGGCTACTGGGATAAGTTTTAGAAACAACCAGATCCCAGATTGTGGCAGTAGGGCGTGTTTTCTGGAATACATGCTGTATCTGCAGAGCTGAAGATATAAGCTCCATCTGGATTACCAAATCAGGGTGCCCATCTCAAATGCCAGGGAGCTGCTATGTTAAAATTCAGGCTCCAGAGTGTCCCTGGGCACTGGCATCTGTAGGGGCGGGGCTACCCATAACGTTCAGGCTGAAGATGTATTGACAGACGCAGGGAAAGAAAAGTCTGAAGATTCAGAGTTAGCTACTGGGCAAGTCCTGGCTGGCCAGCGGATGCGAGCACCCAGGCACCTTGGGAGGTACTGCGTTGGCAAGCAGCTCTCATGTGCCGTTACTGGGGAATGCTACAGTTTTACTAATTATACTTTATCCCCATACACTCCGAGCTTGTTGGGGCTAGCTCTGAGAACCAGCCCTCAGGGTGTGCTGACAACTGAAATTTCTGGGCTGATACACCAAGAGCTAAATGATCCCAGACACTGCTGCTGCCGCTGCTGCAGGACCCACATGGATGCCGCTGTACTGCCCCTGGCACCACTTGTGGACTTGGGGATTTTCCATACCTAGCTGGCTGCATCCATGCCACATGGTCCCCTTGCCCACTTTCTTGTGTCAAACTAGTCATCCTTCAAGAAATTCGGTTTTCAGACAGACCAGGGGTGAGCCTGAGTCTCAGTTCCTGTCCAGCCACAGCGTACAATGCTTCGTTTTTATTCCAGCTACCTCTGAGTTCCTCATCTTGACAGTAACCTCTTTAAATATGACTCATGTTTCTGTTTCCCATAACACTCAGCGCAGGGAGCAAAGCAAATATATCAGGATCCTGCTGGCTGGCTTGCGTGTGGCTGCCACAAATAGCATGACTTGGACCAGCCAAGATGATAGGAAGAAGGAGCACAGAACCAGCTTCCAAAAGACCTGGAGAGATTCTCTGGGTGCGGGTCCTGCTCCCTCCAGGAACTCCCAGAGGGTGCTCAGTGTTTTCTCTTGGATGAGAAGAAAATCCCTCTTGCACCTGGCATATCATTCATGTATGGGGCTTAGGGAAATGCAAGCTCTGCTGGAAATGCTGGGAGCCATGGCTTAGCAGTAGCTCCCTGTGAGCCTGGCACAGCCCCAAAGGAGGGGGAACTGAGAATCCCACTTCCTAGTGATCCTTTGCGAGGCTTCAAAGCTCCATGCAGGCCCAGAGTTGCTATTAAGCACACAGGCTATGCCGATCTACAGAGGCCAACAACCTGCCTGCGTGTTGCACCTGCCTGTCCCACGCGACCAAGCTGCTCAGCCACCCATGGTCCCATCAGCCAGGGAGCTGGGAGACCACTGGCCATCGTGGCCCAGAGGGAGCCTTACCATGGAGAGGTTCCTATGTTCCTGTGCATGCTGTGTGACGTTATCGCGGCCCACTCCCACATCCAGGTGATTGAGCAGGGCCTTCAGCTGTGGCAGGGTAAGGCTGCCCCCCTCGCCATACTGTTGCATGAGATCGTCCAGGAAAGAGGCAGCACTGATTGGTGGCTGCACTGCAGAGCCCAGTAGCTCCTGGGGAGCAGCGCTGCAGGTGAACAAGGCCAGCAGAAGGTAGCTGGGGAGGGCCGGGCGCAGCAGCACCATGTTGATCAGGTTCACCTGCAGGACAAGTCTGGGTGAAGGAGCTACCCCACTTACTCCCAATCCCCATGCCAAACATGAGGGTATCCCTTGACACCCTGAGTCTAGATGGCATCACGAGGTGACTTCAGCCCTTGTCTGCTCCCTCTGCCAAGCCTCAAAAGACTTTTCTTTCAAAGGGGATAGGGTGAGTCAGGTATGGTGGGACACATCTATAATCCCAGCACCCTGGGAAGCTGAGACAGGAAGATTGGTTTGATCCCAGCCTGGACAATTTAGTGACTTAGTAAGAACCTATCTCAAAAAATAATAAATAAATAAATAAATAGGCTGGGGATAGTTCAGTGCCAAGGCCCTGAGTTCAAACCTCAGGACCACTCAATGAAAGGCAGGGAGGGTTGGAGAAAATTTAATAAAAAGAACAAACTCAAAAGGTTTGACTAAACCAGGCATGGTGGTGGAGCATACCTATAAACCCACTGGGCTGAGGTAGAAGGATCACTGTGAGTTCAAGGCCAGCCTGGGCTACAAAGTGAAATAAAGCCCAGCCTGGACTACATACCAAGACCCTATCTCAAAAAGGAAAAAAAAAAAAAAAAAGGGTTGACGAAATTTAGAAGAAATAAAAGGGAGCCCAGAATATGACTCAACAGTATAGAGCGTCTAGCATGCAGGAGACCCTAGGTTCCATCCCTACTACCAAATAAATAATGTGGTTATGATTCTATAGAGCCCTTATCTTTTAGAGATACTGAAATAACCATGGATTAAGTGTTATCTCATCTGGATTTGCTTCAAGGCAATAAAGGAGGAGGGATGTGTAGGGAGCGAGGATGGAACAAGACTTCAAAGGAAGAAGCAACGTTAAAATAAGTGACAGGGCTGGGGAGACTGCTCAGTGGTCTAGGCGCCTGCCTGGCAAGTGCAGGGACCTAAGTTCAATCCTCAGTACTGCATGCTGTGCTGGACCCGAAACTGAGCGTGGTAGTGCATGCCTGTAATCCTAGCACTGAGGAGGCTGAGACAGGAGGATCATTATGAGTCTGAGCTGCATTGTGAGGCCCTGCATCCAATAAATAAATAAATAAATTAAAATAAAATAAAATAAGTGACAGACAAAGACTCTTCTGCCTATTGTTGTGCATGTCTGAAATTTTCCAAAGTAACCACCAAAAGAAAACATGTAAGATTTGCTCTAATCAAATTAAAAAATAAAAAGGCCTGCTGGGTGTAATGGTATATGCCTATAACCCCAGCATTTGGGAGGCTGAGGCAGGAGGAGGCTTGCTGCAAATTCAAGGCCAGCCTGGGTTACATAGTGAGACCCTGTGTTTAAACAAATAAAAAAAGCTGGGCGTGGTGGCACACACCTGTAATCCTAGCACTCAGGAGGCTGAGGCAGGAGGATTGTTGCAAGTTTGAGACCAGCTTGGGCTACAAAGTGAGCTCAAAGCCAACCTGAACTACACAGCGAGATCTCGTCTCAAAAAGACTAAATAAATACATACATAAATAAAAACAAAACCAGGAAAAAAAAATGGAAAAGGCTATCCTCAGGATGCTGTGCTGTGGTTAAGTACATCATATCAGTTTCACAGGATAGTATATAGACAAAAGCAATTAGGGTCATGGGTAGAATATTCTGTTTTTAAGGAGAATTACTGAGCACAGCCTTCTGGCTAACATCAAGTGTAGCAGTGGGAAGAACTGAGGAGGAGCACAGAAATGAGACCTAAAAGCAGCAGAGCTACTGCTGATCTTTTTATTAATCATTCGCCTTGCTTATTGAGGTTGAAATTTAATTTTAGTGACATAAGTGAATATCCGGCGTGGAAAATGCACTCCTGGGTCTCGGCCCTGGCAGTGGGGCCCTCCCAGGCAGCAGGCCAGGCCCTGCCTCTGTGCGCCACTCTCTGGGGCTCTGCTTGTGACGGAGCAGGATTGGAGCAGCTAGGAACTGAACTCTGGCCCTGCCAGTTCTGGACAGTGTCACCTTCAGTAACTTATTTAGCTAGAGACAACAGAGAATGAGCCAGGGCAGCCGTGCAGCTTACTGCGGCCACAAGGATAGACAAACAGGGCTTGAATTCCCATATCCACCTCGCAATGACTCAAGCTCTCTGTTTTCTCATGTATAAAATGAAGCCCACCTCTGGGGTTACTGTGAGGGCTTCAATGGCACACACTAGGGAAGAGGGGTACCTAACCTCATGGGCTCAAAACCCGGCAAGAGTGATTCTGATTGGCAGGATTTCCAACTTTAGCCAGTCTCCCCAACCTCCCAAATGTTAGGAAGCCCCTGTGGCTAACTTTGCGTTAACTAAAATGGTCCCAATTCCAGGTCTCTTTGGGCATGGACATCGAGTAAGTCCCCTGCCACTGTACAATGTGTCATTCCCACTTTAGCCTCTGCACAAGTGGCATGCTCAGAACCTGGGGACACACAACGTGTACTCCACTCTTTGGTGAAATATACTTCACATTGCACGAATGGATGGATGGATTGGGCATCAGCAAAATGAAGGGATAGAAAAGTGTTAGCTTGAGACTTTTGAATCTCCACTCAGAACCAAAAGTCAAACAACAGCAAAGGGGTGGATCTTAAGCAAATATTAAAATCCACATACAGAGAACACATTACCCACCCCAGGCAGCCAGAGCAGCACGTGTGCAGTGCTGTCAATGTGGGAGAGCAGGCTGGCCCATGTGGGCTCAACAGAGGGGAGGCAAGGGCCTGCCTGACAACACTGGCGTTTGCAGAGGGCAGACCTTGCTGGGCACTTGGAACACATTGTTTCCTTTCAAAGAAGTTGGTGAACTTTACCTTACCTAACAGATAAGGGAGACAGGGCTCAGAGATTAGGAGATGTGCCTGCAGCCAGCAAAGCCAGAAATAGAATCTATCATGAAGTGAAGCCAGGGCTAGACAGTAATGTGTGGTCCTCCACATTCAGATATAAAATGCATCCTGGATGCCGTGGGCAACCACAAGGTCTACAGGCTTCTGAGCAGATCTGGTGACTTCTATCCACACACAGATCTCCAAGAGCTAGTGGGGAGCCCCCAGGATGCCTCAGAAGCCACACAGAATTCCAGGTGCCTGCTGTAGACCACAGAACAGAACAAATGACTGTACCCCTTTCTAACCTACTCCTCAAATTTATCTGCAGCAACTTCAAAACACTTGAAAAAGCAAAAATTCTGTAAGGGTGGGCGACGTGGATGAGCACTAGCCCAGAGGTAAGCTCTGGCCAAGCATTCACTGTCCCCTGGCCCAGAGGCCCTTGCCTAGCTGCTAGCACAGCCTGGAGCCCCAGAAAGAGGCACTTCTGGCTATAGCATGAGAAAGATAAAAAAGGCCAGGTATGGTGGTATAGACCTGTAATCTAAGATCTCTGGGAGGCTGAGGCTAGAGGACTGCAAGTTCCAGGTCAACCTGGGGCAAGAGCAATTCAGTGAGACCTTGTCTAAAAACTGAAAGTTGGGGACTGAACCAGTGGCCTTTGCACTGAGCTACATCCCCACTCCTTGTAAATTTTGTTTTGTTTTGTCTTCAGACAGGATCTTAGTGACAGGTAAGTCACTAAGTAGCTCTGGCTGCATTTGAACTTGTGGGAGGTTTTATAATAAAATGCTGAAATATTTTTCTAGTATCAAAACATAAATAAATAAATAAAAATTGAAAGCCTTGGGGGTGTTGCTCAGGGTGAAGGCCCTGTGTTCAATCTCCAGGACCACAAAGAGGGGAAGGGAAGAGGGGGCGGACAGATGGGGGCAAGCCACAGAGCCACCTTTACTTCTCCCAGGTGACCTTCTCCTTCTCTCCCTGCTGGCACAGCTGCACTTGTCTGTAACAGAATATGCTGCTTTGGTGGCAGCCGTAACAGAGCACCAGAGCTCTGATGAGCTCCACGAGCCGGAGGGAGGTCTGATGCTGAGCTCGCACGGCCCCAAGACCTCTTCAAACCCAGCGAGCCAGGCCTTTTGGCAGACACGGATGGGGAGTTTTCTGCTCCAGTAGGGACTTTTCTTTCCTTCTTAACTGTAAGTTATTCTTAGCCAAAAAAAAAAAAAAAAAAAGGTTTATAAAAGATTCTTTGGCAAAAAGAAGAGAAGAAGAAAACAGGCCGTTCTTGCTGCGGCTGGGAAGGTGAGGCGGGGTGCAGGTCCTGGCTGCCAGCCCCACTGGGCCACTGGAGTCATCCCCAAGCAGCTGAGCCACACATGTGCCAGGGGTGCTAGGGACAGAGGGTGACAGAATGAGGAGAAGGAAGATGGCAAAGGCACAGACCATAGAGAAGCGGGGTCTCACTGCTTCTGTCCCCTTGGTGCAGGGTCCAAGGAAGAAATGATTCTAGTGCCTTGGGTTGGTCTCTCAGTGCTACGCCAGGCCCAATTTCAGGCAAGAGAATGAAAGATACAGGAAGTCAGCAAGCCAAGCTGCTTATTCCAGAACCTTCTGTAAGACTATAGATGTTTCCTTGCCATCCTAGGGGCTCCTAAATTAGAATCCCACCTGCTGTTGCTGCTTCATTGGGTCTAGAAGCACTTTATCCACAGTAGCAGTTCTGTTCTGTAGGTGGACCCATTTTACCACTGTGTTTCCCACACTTTATTTTTCTTAAACCCACCTCCTCTCAACAACCCTCTCTACAACTGGCTTCTGGTCTGCCCAGTGCTATCTCCTTCACCTTGGGGCCCTTACCTGAGCTCTACACCTTCACAACTGTGAGCTTTTCTTTATCAAAGACTCAACCTCATGCCTTACTTGATAGTAACAAAAAAACAAAACAAAACAGAAAAATGGACTAATAGGAAATAATACTCATAGTTTTATGAGTATTTAAGATGAAATATGTTGAAATGTTCTATAGATTTAAGATGGAGAATTGAAATGGCAGAATTTCCCTCTTGCTGATAATAAGCAAACTAAATTATAGAAAAAAGAAGCAAATAAATTCACCAACAGCCAACAAGCAGGGAAACAGTCATAAACATATCAGTAACTTCAAGGCCAG